TTGAATTAATTGTAGGAAATTACATAAGAAATTAAATATAAACTTCAATGAGAAAATACTAAGAATCAAGAAGATTACAATTAAAATAAGTATGATCTGCCCTCTTTTAAATGGAGAAGATTTTAACTAATTATGGGTATGATTGAGGGAAGAATTAAGAAAGATTTTGACCGACTTAGGAACGGATTAATTGCTCCCATCATCTCTCCAAAATCCATGAGATTTCAATCTCCCATTAAGGCATGAGATTTGATTTCCTCCTCTTGATTTCTTATGCAGTTTAGGAAGGAAATCCCCCCCTTGGCTGACTCTCCCTTTAAGGGAGAAGATTGCTGGCAGGTTTGGGAGAAGAAACACCTTATGGGATATTCCTCTTCCACTTGAATTGAGATGTATGTACTGCGCTTGGGCTTCTTTAAATGATCCAAACCCATGCCCCCTCATTGATCCATTCTTGGATGAAGAGTTGAAAAACTTGTTGTAATCTTTTTTACTCTCCCTCTTGTAATAGGCTCACTTGATATTATAATATTTTCATGGTCCATGCTCACATCATGGAGGATTTAAACTGAACCAGCCCACTGGAAACCCCTGGATCGAACTGGTTCATCTGCGACACCGAATCAAACCGGACTCAGCCAAAATCACGTCTCTTCCTAAGGTGGAAATTTTCACGTTTGAGGGAGTAAATCTCTGCAGACTGATAAGTAGGTGTGATAAGTATTTTCTAGCGCACAACACACCAAATGAGCACAAAGTAGAAGTCGGACCCTCTTCTTGGGAGAAATTGCGGATATATGGTACAAATGGTGGCTAACAAAAAAGTGATGAGACAAAGCGAGAGTATTTTGTGTAGGATCTCTGACAAAGATATGGCAGGCCTTTAAGGAAGGATTTCATTGAAGAATTTACAATTTGATGCAAACTGAGATTGTTCTAGAATACTAAGAATAATTCGAGCATTTGCGCGCCCTAATGAATGCGGACAATCCCACTCTCTTGGAGAAACTTTTATATCCAGTTTTATCAATAGTTTCAAACCGAAGCTATAGCCAGTGATAAGGTTGCTCAAGTCACATACTTAATCAAACTTTTGAGGAAGCTCTATTTCAGGAGAAATCCATAATTGAAATGCCCAAGATTTCATACTGTATAGAGAGAACTCCCTACTCATCTGGTAGCACAAGGGAAATGTCAGCTCGAAACTCCGAGCGTACGGGAAGAGAAACGGACATTAGGAAATCACTGGCATCATGCTAGAAATATGATGACTGTTATTTCCCAGGACACCTTTGTCAAAACAAAACTATGATGGCAACTGAGGAAGTTTCTAACCAAGAAGACATCTTAGATAAGTTACCCAAAAAGGAGATCACAGATGAAGAAAATCTAACAAGTACCTTGTCCATACAAGTAATAAAAGGGATTTCACCATGCAACACCTTTAAAATCAGAGGAACACTGACTTGTTGTAATGTGCTAGTTTTGGTGGACAATGGAAGTTCAGACTTGTTTCTAAATGAAGATTTGGCCAAAGGAATTAAGAATCGCGTGGTTAGGGACAAATCATTGATGGTAAAGGTAGCAAATGGGCAATGAATCACAAGAAGTATTGAATGACTGGATGTTTCTTGGATAACGTAAGGTTACAAGTTTGGGTACAATTTCCAAGTAATTCAACTCGGTGGATATGACGTGATACTTGGAGTGGACTTGATGAAGCAATTTAGTCCTATGATATTTGATTTGTAAATGCCACCATTAAGTTCTACTATAGCAATTCGTGCATAGTACTTAAAGGACATGACACAATTGGCCAAATGAATGAGGCTACTACTAAGAAATGGGGAAAACAAAAAAGCAACATGGAAGAAGGGATTGTTTTCCTAGTTATGGAGGTTGACCCAGAAGATCGAGTTACTCTAACTCACAATGAATCCTTAAAGTCTTTGCTAGAGCAATCCAAGGACATATTCGAGGAGCCTCAACAACTACCTCCATCCAGGGAATTTGATCATGCAATTTCATTAATTGAAGAAGAAGCAATCGTCAATATTCAGCCTTATAGGTACTCCTTCCTCTAGAAGAATGAAATAGAAAAACAAGTAAAGAATATGTTACAGAAATCAATCATCTGGCTCAGCCGCACCCATTCTCATCTCTAGCCTTGGTGATCAAAAAGAAAGAAGAAACCTAGAGATTCTGTATAGATTACAGGGAACTTAATTCACTAACAATCAAAGATAAATTTCCTATTCTTATTATTGATGATTTACTTGACGAGTGACATAGTGCTTCTATTTTCTCAAAACTTGATTTGAGAGCAGGATATTAATGGATTCATATTAAAGAAGAAAACATTCACAAAACAGTTTTTTCGAACTCATCAAGGCCATTATAAATTCAGAGTGATGCATTTTGGTCTCACCAACACCCCAACCACTTTTCAGATTTCTCATGAATCATATTTTCAAAGAAATTATTAAAAAATTTGTCCTCTTTTTTTTGATGAAATTCTCATTTACAGCTCCAGCGAACAAGAGCATTTGTTTCAACTTGAAATAGTACTGCAGTTACTACAAGAGCACAAATTATATGCCAAAAGAATTATATGCTGCTTCCTGCAG